CCATATCTAAAACTTCAATTGTCTTGACTTTGAGACAAAAAGAATGAGTTTATTAGTCACTAGCATTAACTAGTGAAGATCTGGAAGGATAGATTTTTCTCACTGCCAAAGGGCTTTACAAAAGGAGAACAATCCATTTCACCTTCATGCAGGAAAAGACTGTAGACACTAGAACAAATGACTGACTGACAACTGTCTGAAGACATGCCGGAGGATGGGGGGGAAGCCTGGCTGATTTTGGTGGAAGCCAGATGCATCTTGCCAAGTTCTGCTTTCCCAAACCCTCTGTGCTCTTCGGCGTGTTCGAAATAGCACAACTCCAGTGCCCATACTTCAATCTTTCATCATTTGGGGACTGACAAACTTCAAAAAGGCAGAGAAAATTTGTATTTAGAACAGATGTCCTGAAAAACATTCTTTTATTATGTGCTAGGATAAACTTTGAAAGTGGGACAAAGATGGGAAGTAAAATTTGTCTGCTCACCATGGACATTCTCAAAATAATTCCCAGCAAATTTGAGAACAGGTGGTTTCTGTGCTTAACCTCAGCACTCGGAGCCATATCTCCCTAGATTCTTTCTCCCTTGAGAATTGAGGGCATGGGAAGTGATTCCATACTTGTAGGTGCTTTAACATGGCATGTTTTTAAAAGCTTCCTGAAGTTCTTGATACAAAAATCATGAGATGTCACAACAAAAATGTCTTCTTTCAAGTTAAGTATCACTCTTGCAATGGATCTGATTTAAAAATGCAAATATTCCACCCTGGCTGGTGTGGCTCAGTGGACTAAGCGCCAGCCTGTGAACCAAAGTGTCACCAGTTCAATTCCCATTCAGGGCACATGTCTGGGTTACAGACCAGGTCCCCAGTAGGGGGCATGTGAGAGGCAACCACACATTAATATTTCCCTCTCTCCTTCCCTTCCACTCTCTCTCTAAAAATAAATAAATAAAATCTTTTTTTTAAATGCTAATATTCCTGAAAAAATGGAATGAATATCTTAGGACAGAAGATTTACTCCATGTCTTTTCTGTTCTAAGAACTTCACTTCTTTAAAAAATTTCACCTTTACAACAACCTTGTGGAAGATAATGTTTTCTCCATTTTATACAAAAGGATGTTTAGGTGAAGAAAGATTTGCTAACTTGCCCATCATGGTCCAGCCCATTAGTGATAGAGTCAACATTTAAATCTGAATCTGTTAAGAAATTAATAATTTTTTTTCTCAGTATTCAGCCGGAACTCCTATTGGTATAACTGAGGAAAGGTGAGGAAGAAAATTCATCAGGAAAGTAACAAATTCAAGTTTGCCTACAGTCATGTTTTAGAAGAAGCTGCCCAGCTCCTTGATGTGATTATTGCTAAGAAGGGAACAACTTCACTGAAGACTTTCAAAGGAACTTTGTGATATAACTTGATAGTTCATGCTCAAGTCTCAGAGCACAAGACACTTAGGTGAAGAAGTGCATTTGCTTTACTCTTTGTAAACATTCCAAATGATGGCAAAATAGGATACCTCAAAATGTGCCTTTCACATTTCCAGGAGCAAGAATTGTTGCAATCTGTATAAATTTATACATTTATCTAACATTTATTGTGTACGTGCTCCTCTTCAAACACTGCTACAAGCCATGAGCAATTCAAAGATGAGTAAGATAAGAACCCATTCCTTAAGAATAGAAGAAATAATAAATTCATCAGAAAATGTTCCTGTGGGAGACACACATACATAATTACAATTCAGGGTATAAAATGAATAACCACTATAAGAAAATAGTGTATCATGTTATGTAGTTCAGAGAATGAAAAGCTGATTATTATTTACAATGATTAGAGATGGCTTCATGGAGGAAATGGCATTTAATCATGGGCTTGAAATGTAGGTAAAATGTTGATAAGGCACAGTGAAACACTCTAATAGAAAATTTTATAGGTAATGCCACAGAGGAAAAAAATGATCTCATCAAGTAATTAATTATTTTGTTCTCTGTCTGAATTGTTTCTGAGGTCTAGAGTCAAGGACCACTAGCCCTAACTCAAGAGTGCCCTCTTAAGTCTTCTTTCTTTCTCTAGGAAAAAAACCTTTAAAAATATGGTTACAATTTAGATGTAAGTGGTTACAGATTTCGGATATCAAGACACACACACATACCCAAACAAGAGGCAGACACACAAGGCTTGTATTCAGTGAATGCAGGACATGTGTTATGTCACAACCAGAATATGTGAAAATAAAAAGTGAATGAATAAAAAATAAATTTGAACTCAAACAGAAATAGGAATACCAAGGAGAGACAAGCCACCTCACCTTACAGAAACCCAGAAAATCTCAGAATAGTAGACAATAGATTAAAAAACTACAAGATGTGAGGTATAAATCAGGGAGATTGGTTGAAATTCTGTCTTTGCACTGGTTTCACATCCTGACCCCACCCAGCCAATCAACTTCTTCAACCATGGAAGCACTTACAAGAATCTTCTTTGAAGTAAATCTACAGACCCAGGATAAAAACTTCCAGATATTAACATTTTATATAGGTTACCCTATAGTAGAGCCTGCCACAAATATGCATAAAATTCTGTGGCAATTTTAGGAAAATCCATTATTTTAAAATAAACTTGTTAGTGCTGAATAATAAATAGAAATTGACAGAGACAAGAGGGAAGGAGGGGGTGGCGGGGAAAAGGAAGGGAAGGGGAAAGTCAAGGAGCATATAGCAAGGACTCATGGACAAAACCAAAGGGGAAGAGCTGAGGGAGGGAAAGAGAGAGGGGGCAAGGGAAAGTGGTGTGGGGGAGGCAGAGACAATTGTATTTGAAAAAATAAATTAAAATACAATTTAAAAAAAAGAAATTGACACTAAAGTATCCTCTAAAATAAAAGATACGAAACAAGCAACTTGATACAGGGGTGGGTAAAAGTATGTTTACAGTTCATGTGGAAAAGGACATGTGGGTTATGATTATCATAGTGGCTTTATTGACTCAAAAGTATGTCACAATGGCACAGCGCATGTAGGCACAATCTAAGGTGCTGACCATCATGCTTTACACATTCTTGTAGTCTGCTTGCTATACTCAAGGACATTTTGACACAGTCCTTTAACCTACTTATACCCACGCCACATAATGAGAGATAACACAAGAAATAGGAGAAACACTTAAAATAAAATATAATTAATATTCCCAGAGGGATAAAGAAACATACTACTTCCATGAAAGCAGAATAGATAGTATGAAGGAAGGAGAAAAAGAGAAGGAGGAAGAGAAAGAAGAGTCCTAGAATAAGAAAAGCTTCTAGATGTTAATAACATAATAGTTAATTAAAAATAAACACTTAGAGAAGAATTGAAAGATAGCGTTGTGACAATCTGTAAGAGAATAGAACAGTAACACACAAAAAAATATACCTGATGAAGTGCTACCTACCCACTGAGAATAGCAGTTTCTGGTTTGGAGAAGCTGAATGGGGGTTTCTTAATTTCTAAAATTTAGGACACATTTTAATTGTTACTTTATGTTTTGTATGAGCTCATTCTTGTGTACTTTAGCTAAAAAGCACCTATTAGCATTAGGGAAAACAAAATTTGATTGAATGCTAAATAAATACATATCATTGAACATTATGTGAAACTAAAAACTTATCCAGTTAATAAAGTTAACAGTTACAACAATGGTTGATTCTGAACACTGAGATTTTTGGATTTTTTCTCTTTTTAGATTGTTTAGTAAAATAAGGAATAAAAGTTGTACCCTGGTAAGGTCATGCTCAAAGATTTAGAACATTTATCTCAATATGGTTTACAATAGTTACAGATCAAAACTACCAAGGAGGCTGTCAACGGACTGTGGGTTGAATAATGGGATGCATTTTTATAATGGAATATACCCACCTGATATCCTCAAACATTATTGGCAGTAAAACAAAAAGATGTTTAAAGTATTATTAAGGAAAATAAGTGATCCTCTATTTGCTTTTACTTGTTTTGTATACATACTGTTATATTTTGCTTTAGTTATAATCCTGCTCTTCAACTTACTAATTATGTGTTTGAAAGTTACTTAAATTCTTTAGGTTTCAGTTCACTATAATAGGAACACTAATAGAATCTATACCACAAGGCTGTTATACTGAGTAAATAAATTTATATATTTATATAAATTCATTCTTTGAGTATTTGCTGGCATGTTGGAATCAATATGTATCCATTGCTCATGTTATTGATATTAGTAGCAATGGAAGAAAAGATATTATTATTAATTATACTATCAATAATTATCTTTAAAAACTCTGACAGCCTTAGTTTCTTTTCTTAAAGGAATTTATGAATGACTTCTAAATTTTCTATAATAAATGTGTTGTTTTATGTGAGAAAAAATTAATTTTAGTAATAATTTTTAAATAATATATTTAGTAATCTCCCCAAATAGGATGATGTATCTCTGTTTGACAGACTTCCTTGCAAAGAAAAAAAGGATGTTACCATTTTTGTCTGCTTTAAATAATTCTTCTGCCATTAGTGGTGGAATCATACTGTCAAGTATGATTCTACCAGGGATCTACTGATTCTTGATGGCCTAAAAACTTTCTTATAGAATATTTTTATTCAAATTTCTAATTTTAAAGATAATTCTAAAAAATTAACATATGTATGTCTGGATCCAGTGGATGACCACACAAGCCCAAACACTGCCAAACGATTTTATCACATCTTGACTTTGTCTCAGGTAACAAGAGAACAACAGTCCTTTTTTCCCACGAGATGTGTTTTATTTTTATTTATCATGCAAATAATTTTCTACAATATCCCAGGGCAAACCAGAGAATTTGACAGTTCGAATGGGGGGTTGCCCTCTGAGACCCATGGGCCGATGACATCAGCACAGAGTATCCGCGTTCACAATGCAGTTTGTTGCTTGTGTCCATCTTACAGGTAGCTTCTTCTCCACATCATGACTGGGGTCCCAAAGATAACAGGAGTGGGGACTCCTCCAGGATCTTAGGAAATTTCACTCTGCTTCTCCTGCTCAATGGTCTCTTTAGCTGACAGAGTGTTCTCCTGCATCTTCGTCTTCTTCAGCTTGGCCTTATCACAGCCGGCAATTTCCCCCATGTCTGGCTTGTCTGCCATTTTCTTAAAACAATCATTGGCCTTGGCTCCCAAATTGAGGTCCTTGTTCCCACTCACTGCACCAAGAGATCAACAGCCTTAATAATAAGAATGCCACTTGGCTAAATAAGGCCCCAAAGACCTGATACCCCACTGCACTAATGAAGGTTTTGCCATACTGTGTACTGAACAGAGATGAGAGAGGTATAAGATGAGTCACTCTGAGCTCAAAAACAAAAAACTTGAGTCATAGCACTTCTGAATCTTCAACGTGATTTGCCTTTAGCAAACATTATATACATTGCAACATATTTATACTGTTAATTTAAACTTTACAGTGTTTATACTATCACATTTTTAATTTTATAAATTTGTTTGGATTTTATAGTGATTTAAGAACCTTAAGCTTTTATTAGTTTACATTTAGTTTTGTGTTTATATGCTTAAGTGACATAATAAAAATAACATTGGATTTTTATGAGAAATCTTTTTTCTACAAGGGTTCATACTTTCAAGAATGAAAAATAATATACTGTGTTAAACTCTGACTAGAATATAATTTTAATTTAATATATTTAAAATATTTTTATATTATTATTATATTCCTAACACCGGGCGAGCATGCTGGGTAACACAGAAAGCATTTACTACATGATCCTGGTACTTGATGTGTTTACAAATTTTAAAACATTATCCAGGAAAGTATTAAGTGACAGAATAAGATAGAATGTGATTACATGCCTAGAGTTATTCAGACAGTATGTCCTAGTAGTTTAGGCCAGGGGGAAAGCTCCCAGAGCTAGAATGGAAAGGAAAGCTGCAAGGGGGAGGTGGGACTTGAACTTCTAGTCTTGAAGAAGCTATGAGGGATTCCAGCCAGAGAAGTCCTTGGAGGAAGATAAGGAGGTGGAGACAAAGATGTCACATCTTTCCTGGATTTGGGCAGGGTGGAATGCGAATTGGGTGCATAGCCTTGGGGCAGGAGACAGAGAGAAAGCCATCATAAGTTTTTTATCAGTAGAATGATGTAATAAAAGTAATATTTTGCAAAAGTTCTTCTGATAGAAGCATTGAAGGAGCTCTTACTATATGCCAAGCACTGTGTTGAGCATAAACAAATTACCTCAAAGCAAAATGGATTCAGGATGGAGGCATAGAGACCCCGGCTGTCACAACAATTCACATTCATGAATTTCAACCAGGTCTGATCCCCTGTCCTGCTCTGGTCGCCCCAAACAAACAAACAAACAAAAGAGGAAAAAAAATCTAATAGCAAAAGTCATAGCTGCCAGCTAAATAATTATTTGGTTGTGTCTGTGTCATTACATGCCTGGTGCCCTGCACTTCCATTGGAGAGAAGAGTCACAGAGAATCAATGGATATGTAAATGTGGACCTGGGTGTTGGGTAAATACCTCAGTAAGGGCAAAACAAATGCAAGCAGAACAGAGTGTATGAGCACATGTGTGTGTGCATGTGTTCATATGCACATGTGTATGTGTGAGTGTGTGTGTAAATTTGTGTATGTGATTGTGTTTCTATGAATGTGTATGTGTATGTCTATGAATGTGTGTGAGTGTGTGTCTATGAACGTGTGTGTCTGTGAGTGTGTGTGTGCATGTGTCAGGGAGGCAGTCTGCGTGACCATTTGTCCAGCTTGTCTACAGGGGTCCACCAGCACCCTGGCTGCTGTGCTTTTCATCTCAGCAGGCTCACCAGGCCACATGTGGTGCAAAGTTATCCATTCAAAGCTGGATGACTCTGGGTTTAAATGCCAACCCTGCTTTTTACAAGCTCTATGACTTTACACAAGTCACTTAACCTCTCTCTACTCAGCTTCCTGAGCTGTAAAATGCAGATCATATTACTGCACAGAGCTGGTGAAAGGAAGAAGCAAGGACTATCCTATGGATGCGTTACATGCGCATCATTTATCCTTCTGCTGAAGTTTTCCTTTAAGGCAGCTCTGGGTTGGGGGCGGGGAGGTGAGCCCGGCCTCCCGTAGGTGGGCACAGACAGGCACTGGAGCGGACAGTTGCCGTGGGTTCCTATTCTGACCCCCTGGCAGCAGCACATGGGGTTCGGTGAGAGTGCCTGGTGTAACCCCTGGGCTGCAAACACAGCCCACCTCCTGCCACTCATGGCTCCTTCAGTCACAGCACAGAAGTGAAGGTGGCAGACTGCTCAGCCTCACTTAGCAAATGGCAAGGGACTGGGATGGAGATATGTGTGGCAGAACAGGCTTGGAGCAGTCACAGAGAGGAGCCGCTCAGGGCTCTTGCCCTTGCATATAGCTGTTCTGTCCCCCACCCCCTTTCTCACAGGCTCCCAGCCTAAGCAAAGTGCAAGCACAACAATCAGAGGCCTGGAGTGAGATGGCACAGCTGCATTGTGGGATACTTGCCCACAGAAATGAAGCAAGATCTCGGAGGTTGCCCAGAGAAATGAATTCATGAGTGTGTGCTGAACCCATGGTCTCTGTAAGGCTGAGTATATAGCACCCTGACGTGGGAAGTCTTTCCTTTACATTTACCCTCTGCCTTTCTCTCTATCTCAAGCGTATATTTGGAATACAGTCTTTCCTATAAGTCAGCTGATCAACTGCTTGGCTGGCTGCCTACTGAGCAGCCTAGCACCAAGGAATGAAGAGTCACGCAAGGTTACTGTGCTATTCATTCAGCTTTTATTGAATGCAGGTTCTCTCAAAGTAGAACATCAACATATATTAATATCCTACTCACACTCTAACAATCTAAAAGAAATATAACATACACAGAAATCAATGGAGAATAATGAACCCAAGTCCCAGAGTCTCAGTCATCAGGACCAGGAGAAAGCATGGTGGGCAAGGGAGTCTTGCAAGGAAGAATCTCCAGAGCCAGGTGGGCAGCAGGGCAGATGAAGTCCTCAGAAGAGCAGGGCAGGGCCTCTGGCATCTGATGCCTAGGGAGATCAGTGTGGTGAGGAGCAGCACCCCGGGGGGTGGAGCTCAGTTGTCTCAGCAGTGGTCTGGAGCCTGCCTCAGTTATACCTTGAGAGTGGTGTACTTCACCCTTCTGGGGTTCTTGATCATTGTCTTACACCCCTGATGGCAAGTGGGGAATTCCCCAAAGAGCCTATTTATGGATGGCCATGCTCTGCAGACGGGGCTACCCTGGTCATGTGTGCAGATACCTTAGGTGTGTCTCCTTGCCAGATGTATCTAGAATGACTTAGGTAGTTTCCTTCTTGAATAAAACGTCATGGCTCATGAGCGGCCATCTTGGTTGACATGAGTGTCTCCATTTTGTTTTATATACTTTATACTATCTTCACCGAACCAGTGCCATTGTATTGGTCCTGCTCTCCACACTCTCCCACAACCAGCAATTTAGAGCAGCAATAATTCCCTTTTACCTAGCTCACAGTCACTCCTGTCTTTTTTGCCCATCGCAAAAGGTCATTGACTTTATATTTAGCAGTCTTTCCTTTGGCCCTTAAACTAGCCTGATAAAAAGGTTTATTTTCTAATACCAAAGCCAGATATTAGAGCACGTTCTTCTATTTAGACATAGATGAACTTTCACACGTACACACTTGCACTTATAGAATATAATTAAAACACAAGAGAGCTTGAATGTCCACTTTAGCTCTTCTGAAAACCTGCTGGAGAAACAGGTAAAGCTTTCAACCATGGAAGTGAGTTGAAAGTTTCTAACCATTCCGAAGGGCCATTTTCTTTTCTTTCTTTCTTTCTTTCTTTTTTTTTCCTCACCACCCCTTCAAATTCATGATCCTTACCAAACACAGGTTGAAGAGTCTAATGATCCTGAATGGGACCAGGTGTTTAGAGTTTAGAGTTGACCAGAACAGAGATTTCCCAGCAAAAGTAACACCAATTTTTTAGAACATATACAACTGAGAGTAAAACATACTCTTAGATTTCAAACATAACTTTGGCTCCTGCATTCTAACTATTAAATTATAAGAAAATTGTGTCAGCCAGCTTTGTAACAGCATTATGGGTTTCAGTTCTATAGGGAACACATTGGTGACTAATAAAAAAAAATTAATCTCTTTATAAAGTGAGCTTAGTTTACAAAACTCTAGGCCCCCAAAGGAGGTTGTTATATATGTACAGTCTTTAATTCAACCAACATTAATTGGACATCTCCTGAGCAGCACTGATTTATGTGTTACTAACAGTAATTTAGTTCAGCAGTTAGTGTAAGGTAAGCTTAAATAATCTCTTCCAGCTGAGTTTAACCAATTGTCCTAAACCCTTTTAATTCACTATCCTTATCAAACACTGAATTCATTAAACTAGTTCTTCACAGCATGATCCATATCCCTCCATTCTTTCTACTTAGAATAAGGCTGAACACACGGTTGTCCCCAAATTCCTTGAATACATCATACTATTTCCATAAGGATCTTCTAAAAGAATGGGTATAAAGACAAATACCATATGATCTCACCTATAAGTGGAACCTAACCAACAATACAAAGATGCAAGGAAAATAAGACCAGCAACACTGAAAGGAAAAGAAACCAACAGAGACAAGAGGGAAGGAGGGAGGGAGGACGAGGGAAAAGGAAGAGAAGGGGAAAGTCAAGGAACCTATAGCAAGGACTCATGGACAAAACCAAAGGGGAAAAGTTGAGGGAGGGAGGGAGGGAGGGAGCAAGGGAAAGTGGTGGGGGGTAGGCAGAGACAAATGTATCTGAAAAAATTAATTTGAAGAGAAGGGGAAAGTCAAGGAACATATAGCAAGGACTCATGGACAAAACCAAAGGGGAAGAGTTGAGGGAGGGAGGGAGGGAGGGAGCAAGGGAAAGTGGTGGGGGGTAGGCAGAGACAAATGTATCTGAAAAAATTAATTTAAAAAAAAGAAAGAAAAGGTGCAAAGAATAGAACAAATATTTAAAAACAAAATTCAACATATAGGTCTGAAAGGCCTGATCCACTTCCTCAATACCCACACAATCCATATTGTTCCTGCTCCCACACTGTCTGGACCAGAAACAGAAGACATGCTTCCT